AACTATGATTTTATGTTTCTCAACCGGCAGATGCATTTAAAAAGGTAGCTAACTGTATAAACTAAAGAATAAAGCAAAAACAAAGTGATTCTAAGAGAGGGAACGCAAAAGCAATCATTGGCTACTAGCGAAGCTCGGAACCAATGTCTGAAGTCTGAAGTCTGAAGTCCGAAGTCTTCAAGTCTGAAGTCTGACTGTCAAACATTGGTTTCGAGCTTCGCTAGTAGCCAACATTGCTTTTGCGTTCCTAGTCCTCTTAGAATCACTTTGTTTTTGCTTTATTCTTTAGTTTATACAGTTAGCTACCTTTTTAAATGCATCTGCCGGTTGAGAAACATAAAATCATAGTTAAAAATTGTCAATTAAAATACAATTATCAATGATGCTTCAAAATTGACGCCATATTTAAGCCGAGCAATATATAAGCAAAACTTACTGAACTTCAGACGTAATTTTCTCTTTGGCGTAGCCTAAAATCTCTTCAATTTAGCATTATTTTACAGATAAAACACTAAACATACTTTTTAAGTTTGTTTGCCGATTGAGAAGCGTTCAGTCAAAAAATAAAAATTTTGAATTTAGTCATAACCTCAAGTGGTATATTATACTCATTAGTATTATACTATTACCCATTAGTTTTGAGCGCGTGATATACTTAACTTGATAAATTTACAGAATAAAGTTAATAAATTTACTGCAGTAATAAATTTATGTGGTGTTTCTACAAACAATAGTATTATATGTTTTATCGTTCTGCCTATAAACCTGCAAAGAACTGTCAGAACTCACTGACACATTCCAACAGTCTGCATTTACAATCTAAATCATTCTGACCAGTTTTAACTTTTAGTTTGAACAGCTTTGACTGCATAAGTGCCTTAAATATTAGCCAGCTTCGCAGAAGCAATGTTGGCTATTAGCGAAGCTCGGAACCAATGTTTGAAGTCTGAAGTCTGAAGTCTGAAGTCTGAAGTCCCCTCACGGCTTCCGTAGATATCGGTTCTAAAGCGAAACAATGAAATTATAGCGATTAACGACGAGAAATATGGCTGAAAATTTGGCGAGAATAAAGGCGGTTCGGGCGGCCAACCGACTGTTATTACGAAGTTAACGAAGGAAGCAGAGTATATGTTGCAGCAAAGCGAAGTAAATACGGGGAGATTACCAACTATGGGTAGTTTGTTGGACGAAAAGTTAGCAAAAATCAAGGATTTGGATTCGCAAATTGTAGATTTATGTGAGGTTACAGAGATCGCAGACGAAATCGAAGCAGCAGAGGATATAATATCGTGTATACTGGATACCCAACGAAATATCCAAGACGGAATTAATCGAGTTACAGTAAAATTGTCTAAGCCTGAAAAGATTACGACGGGAAATTTGCCTATAAACAAGTTAAGTTAGTACGAGCGACAATAATACGGGGGAAAATTCGAGTCTAAACGATGACAATTTCAATGGGGCTTCGAGTACGGCCATGATTCAAGAGAACGAGATGGTTACTATGGAAACAGCGACACCCCTGCTCAGTTAAATTCTCTTTCAGGGGTGACCCAAATTCGACCGAAATTACTGAAGTTAGTGTTATCGAAATTTAATGGAAATGTTGCAAATTGGACTGGATTTTGGGATTCTTATCAAGTCGTTGTTCATGACAATACACTATTATCGCTAATAGATAAATTTAACTTTCTGAACTCCCTGTTAGAAGGCGCAGCAGCGCGTGCTATCCAGGGTTTATCACTCACCTCTGCAAATTATGAACATGCAATTGCACTTTTAAAGGAACGGTTTGGTAAACCTCAGCGTGTTATAACATCACACATGGATGAGTTGTTGAAAATACACAGTTGTAACAAGGATAATCTATCTTCATTGCGTTATGTTATGATAAGATAAGTATACATGTAAGAGGGCTAGAATCGTTGGGTGTGTCAGCTGACCAGTATGGTAGTCTTCTAATTCCAATTATAATGGACAAGTTACCGAACGAAATCAAACTTGAAGTAGCGAGAAAGGCAACAGGGGAGGTATGGGAGATTAACGAGTTACTTATAGGACGATTCAAGCGGAAGTTGAAGCACGAGAAGCAAGTGATGCAAGCAAGGTTCATAATGCAAGTTCGAGCAGTCGCAAGACTCAGAGACCTGCAGGTACGACAAATGCTTTGTTCAGTAATGACGGTAAAATACGGTGTGTTTATTGTCAGGGAGAGCACTACTCCGCATCTTGCCAAACTATTGTTAATGCGAAAGACCGAAAGGATGCTTTGAAAAAGGCGGGTGATGCTTTATTCTTTTGAACCCAAACTATATGTCTAGGGACTGCAAATCAACACAGAGTTGTAGACATTGTAATAACAAACACCACCAGTCAATTTGCGAAAGGGTCCATGGGACTAATAGTGATACAAAGGGTGAATCCCCTGAAGAGCATGCCGGAGTGTCGAAAAGTGTTACAACAGCAAGTGCAACCACGGCAAGGAAAGATAGGAATGTTCTTTTGCAAACAGCTCGAGCGATGGCCTTTAACAAGGAAAACAATCGAACAATTCCAGTTCGAATACTTTTTGATAATGGCAGTCAGCGAACCTATGTGACTGACAATGTGCGCTCACGATTGGGACTTAATAAGCCCATCATGAAAGACAAATTGAAACTGAACACATTCGGAGAGTCGAGATACAAGACACAAAACTGTGAGACTGTGAATTTACAACCGAAGAAATCACAATGCAATGATGTTATTGATATAACTGCCACAAGTTATCCTGTTATTTGTACACCGCTACCCTCCAGGGTGAATGTTGAATGCCAACATTTAAATGGATTAGACTTGGCTGATGATTGGGAATCTTCGGACGGCGCGATTGACATATTGGTAGATCAGATCATTATTGGGACGTTGTGATTGGTGAGATAAGGCGTGGAACGGACAGTTTTGAGCTTGTTGCAGTTAGCAGTAAGTTGGGATGGCTATTATCTGGCCCGGTGCAGGGTTCGGTGGGCAATGGTGCAGTCAATTCAAATTTGATTGTTGAGAAATCAGCTGATGGTTGTCATGATTTAACAGGAGATGATGAATGTCTAACGAAGACACTGAGGCAATTTTGGGAGACGGAGGCAATAGGGATAACCGATCTCTCTGGTGAAACCGAGTCAACGCCATTCATAACCGACATGAATCGTGATGGACATTGCTACGAAGTTGGTCTTCCGTGGAAGGAAAATCGTCCAGGAACACACTACGAACTGTGTTATAATCGTTTGAAGTCATTACAGCGAAGATTGAAAGAAAAACCAGATCTACTTAACGAATATGATAGTATCATTAAGGAACAATTACAAGGTGGTGTCATTGAAAGAATCCCGGAGCATGAACCGACTGAATCTACTGAAGAAGGCATTGTTCCCTACATGCCTCTTCACGGTGTGGTGAGTACTGATAAGGATACAACTAAATTAAGGGTTGTATATGATGGCTCATCGAAACCCCATCTTGATGAACCCTCGATAAACGATTGCTTGGAACAAGGTTCTAATCTTATTCCCAAATTGTTCGATATCTTAATAAAATTTAGATCCCACCCAATTGCGCTTACAGCCGACATTGAAAAGGCATTTTTGATTATTGGTATAAATAAATCGGACAGGGAGATGTTACGTTTTATCTGGTTCATGATTCAAGTAATCTTGACAGCGAGATTCAACATTTCCGATTCACGAGACTAGTGTTTGGCTTACGTCCCTCTCCTGCGATTTTGGGTTCAATACTAGCTCATCACCTTAATTCTTACGCGGATCTCTACCCAGAGCTAATCAAGATGATCGAAGAGTCGCTGTATGTGGATGATTTGATATCGGGTGGTGAAAATGAATCGAAAGCATTTGAAATCTACCAATATTCAAAGTGCATCTTAGCCGAGGGTAGCTTCAATCTGCGGAAATGGCACTCAATGCAAATTCAAGAGAATTGCTCGATCGTATACACCAAGCTGAGGCAGGAGATGGGATCAATCAGCATTCGAAAGACGACATGAAACCGAAATCTATAACTGATGAAGATCAGTCGTACACAAAGTCCACTATTGGTAGGGATAACAGAGAGAAGGAAGTTGATGTGGTGAATGTTCTTGGAGCAAAATGGGACTGTAAGACTGCCTCCTTTAGTTCACCAATTCGGGTTGTTTTTCAAGGGAAGAATCAACGAGTCAACGTTATCGTTAACCGCGAAGATGCCAGCGCTACTTCCTCCAAAACATTGGTTTATCGAATTGGTCATACGAGATACACACGAACGAGTGAAACACATATGTTGGCAGCGATAAGAGAAGTATTTTGGATTCTTCGTGGTAGAGCAGCTGTGAAGAAGTCTGTGCGTCATTGCGTCATTTGCAAAAGATCGAAGGTGTTCCTTACAGACCACCAACCATACCTGAACTACCAGAATTTAGTGTATCTGATGCCCCACCTTTTTCTCATACGGGATTAGACTTTGCTGGCCCTCTGTATGTAAAGTACATTAGTAAGGAAACAAGTTCCAAGTCTCAGGCTGGTTTGAACAAGGTTTATGTGTTGTTGTTAACTTGTGCTGCCACAAGGGCAGTTCATTTAGAACTTACCCGTAGACCTGATGTGCCTATGTTTTTGCTAACAATTCGACGGTTCGTAGCTCGTAGAGGACTACCGGCTAGTTTTATCTCGGACAATGCGAAAACGTTTAAATCAGCGTCTAAGGATTTAAAGAAAGTTATTCGGTCGCCGTAATTTTCTCGTTATATGACCGAAAATCGGGTATGTTGGAAATTCAATGTGGACAAAGCTCCCTGGTGGGGCGGATTCTGGGAAAGGCTAGTAAAAACTGTGAAACTTTGTCTTAAAAAGATTATCGGGCGCGCGACAGTCACTTATGATGAACTAGCTACGATACTAACGGAAGTCGAGTCGGTTATTAATGCCAGGCCTATTACCTATGTGTACGACGACGAGGAATCTGTATCCTATGCTCTAACTCCCTCACACTTAATTAACGGCAGAATGATCACAGCTATGCCTAACGACCACCACTACGAGATTGTAAGCACGAGTACCACGCTTAGTCGAAGAGCCAAACATCAAAGAAATATTCTGCGAAAATTCATTAATCAATGGCGTCGAGACTATCTCTTAAATCTTCGCGAAAATTCAGCAGTGAATTCCAGAAATTCTTTCTAATTCAACTGAAATCTCCGAAGGTGACATCGTTTTACTGAGATCTGATTCGACAGCTCGTAATTTCTGGCAATTAGCAGTCATCGCGAAGAGTTTATTTCGAGTCGAGATGGAAAGATCAGAGCAGCTATTGTTAGAACGATCAATGGACAGGGTAAGCCTTCAAGGTTTAGAAGAGTAATTCAGCATTTAATCCCTTTGGAAATACGGTCAAACTCACAAGAATATCGAGAGGATTTGCCTGTTGGACAGAATACACGAGTGCGGCGTGATGCTGCTATTGTTGGAGAACTGAGACGTATCGAACAGTCAGAAAATTAAGATAGTTTAATCAACTAGTTGAATCAAACTAGGGGAGTGTCAAGAACTGTGTTTGTCTTATATTATACTATAATATGTTATTGTTAAGATCACGCGAACAATGCGTAATGCGCGTGCCCACGCGAGACATTCGTGGCGTGTTGACCTTTTATGGTAACTTGGTGGGGGTATATTTTTGTAGTGCGCTTTTGAGATTTTGTTGTTTCACTGCGGAAATAAATACGAAAGTTTTTATTAAATATTTATGAGTTTTAACGGTTTATTCGATCGATTTACTACAGAGGATCGCTACTCCACGCTAATGAAAACAACAACAAATGTTGTACTTAACTTGCCATGGTCTGATGAATTTCAACGCTACGCGTTGCTACTTGCCGAACAGCAATGTATCGATCAGAAATTTATTCATACAACTAAACCAACGACTCAATAATTGCAAACTTACTTCAAAGTCGAAAGGTATGGTACAATCACAACGAAACTTTACAATGCGAGTATATTTGTAACATTATGCGCAAGAATTTCTGTTCAGAATTTCCCGTGCAGGATTGTCTGTTGACCAATCAAATTGCGTGTTTCACTGTAGTTATTATATAAAACGTTTTCGCATACACTTATTTTAATCATGCACCAGTTAGAATGTTGCTATTTGCGTGTAGACAGAGTTTCAAAAACAAAATTTTGGAATTGTGGTAAAACACCACTCTAGTGTCGTAAATATACACCTACAATTTTGCCCATCGGAATGAATATAACTGAAACGCTACATGTACAGTCGAACCTCTATTAAGCGGCCCTCCATTAAGCGGCCACCCTCTATTAAACGGCCACATATCGAAATCCCGAAATTTTTGTAATACAAATACTATAAACTATCCCTCTATTAAATGGCCACCTCTATTAAGCGGCCGCGGCCATCCAAAGAGCGGTCCTAAATGATGTTTTATGTCAATTTGTACCTCTAATTAAGCGGCCAGCCTGCAGGATTTACTTGGCACAACACCTTGTCAAGAGAGCCGAAAATAAAAGTCGAGCTAATCAGCTTTATTTGTAAAATAAGGCTTAAAAATTATGTTTTAACACATGCCACTTTACACCTCAAAAACTTTACACCTCAAAAGCATTGACTACGCCCAATGTCTATTATTTGCGTACCTCTATTTAGCGGCCACCTCTATTAAGCGGCCACAAAGCCGATCCCCGAGGGTGGCCGCTTAATAGAGGTTCGACTGTACCTTCAACCGGACATTTGAAGCCAAACGTGAAGGCCAGTCCCAGTCTTTTTACACATGCAAAGAGCGCTCAATCAGTCAATGATATAAACACGCGTGATTTTTCCTCCAGACACGCGTGTCGGGACGTAAGATTTGGCTTCAAGAAAAAGATAGGCAGTTTATCTGAAGGTGGCGTTTCATGATCAGTTATATTCATTTCAATGATTTTGGCAGGTTAAAGTGACGTGCATGTTGGTGCAAGTTGCCCATTGGAGTGACCTAAATCAATCTAGTTGACGTATCGCCTGCCGGCATTCTAAAGACTGGAAATGAAATACGAACAAGCGATGAAATTACCGAGCTTATACACGTACCTGTTTCGGAATAGTACATACTTTCCCCCCATATTTACTGATATTATTTTGACAAACATTTTCACCAGCTTTTTCCACGACTCGCGCATGCGCTTGATGATTAACCGTCGTGTCGATGTTGTTGATTATAGGGGTTTTCAGATCAGCATCCAGTCATTGATTGAAAGGTGACTATATATTGTACATCATAGCCATTCTTTCTTTCGAAACTTGCTGTTCAATTAGCCTTTTCCCAAAAGAGATCACAGTGCATGCTGGATCGTTTGGAGGGACAAAATATATGGTGACAGGCGTCAAATATGTGAAAGAAAAGAGATATCTACCATCAAATATTAACTTTTTAGACGACCAAAAATTAAATAACTCCTTTTTACATTAAACATTTAATTTAAGTGGTGGCTGCCATATTTCTTGTCCCTCCAACATAGGATTCGCGCGACTAGACCCAGGACTTTAGGAAATAGCTAATAGGAAAGCGATAACCCCAGGTCTCATTATCCACTCATTAAAATCATTGAAAGAAATCGATATGGGACGCTATATGTTTCAGATGTAAGATACATGATGTAAGATATTTTACATATGCAAAAATCCTGTCAATATATTTCTACCACCATAGGTTGGAAATGTCAATTATTGTAATCTGATAGTAATTTCGCTGACATCAATCTTTACGGACACTAGTTTGTTTTCAGATTAGTACCTATATACGTACCTGAACCTATGCCAATGAAAAGGCGACAAACAATAAAAACCACAAAGGCTTTTGGGAAGACCATGATCAATGTCGCAACAGCAATAAGGGCACAACCAGCATACCAAATAATTTTTCTGCCAAACATATCTGATATCAAACCGCCAACCAATAAGGCAACTAACATTCCAACCCAGGAACACGATTGAGCGATAGATAGAAGAATGGAGTCATCACAAACTAGATCGTACTGTAACATAAAATGATGTTGTTATACTGTTCAGCATGAACTCCATATTTGATTTTATTACATGAATATATGTTAAACATGTTAGAATTTATTTATACGACCCTAACCCAATCCCGACTCTAACCTCTAGCTAACTCTAATTTAAATCTTAATCTAGAAAAACTTAAATTAGAATTAATTAAAGATTTACTTAAGTTAGCGATTCGGTTAAATGAGAATAAGCTGACACTGAATTTAAATAAAACATGATCAATGATTATAGGCAGTATAGGAAGTTAGACTATAATCAATAAATTATATCTTCGATATCTGTCTCTGTCTATATAAAATAATTTGCTAGTGGAAAACCGGCATAAATCCAGGTTTCCACTAGCGAATTTTGTCGCGCAAATCGACTATATTTCTTTGTCTTATCTGCTCTCGGCTGGAACTACATACTGTAATGACAAATTTAATAATTCTTTTCAATTTTAACAATATAAATCTCGCTTCGCGCGAAGAAATTCGCTAGTGGAAAACCGGCCTATGGCGATTTTACCTTTATACCCAAAAGCCTAATTCTTGTGCATGGTTTTGTGTGGAGTCGCGAATTTATTGACATGTATAAATAAATTAATTTATTGTTTAACATCATATTCATATAATAAATTCGAAGGTGGAGCTCATGTTGTACTGATATTTAGGTTGTGGTGAGTAAAATAATTTTAATTATTTTGCTGTAAATATTATTCCAAATTATTTTCTATTATTCGCACCTAAATGCTATTATATTTATTAAGAAACTGGAAGACATTGTTTTGCGGGGTTAATGCTCTACTGTATCCTAGCCACGTTTCTCGAAAGAGGGTCGATCAACTGGAAAACGATCGATCGCTGAAAGTAAGCAAACAGAAAACATTAGAGAAGTTAAGATTGACGTTTACGGTAGACCGGTAACCTCTAACTTCAAGTCGTACTTTGAGATCAACTGTAAGCTTTTCAAAGTTAGGATAATTTGTGCATTAAAATTGAAGAATGAATTGACTAAAAACTTGACGAAACCTTCGGAAAATTGTAGAACTTCCGGTTACCGGTCTGCCGTACTGAACGTCAATCTTATCATCTCTATTGCCGTTTTCCCCCAAAAAATAATACTTGGCAACTAAGATAGGCCTACATGTGAGATTCTGAATTTGTTGGGAAACAATTTTACTAATCAGTTCTGGAAATTAAATCAGTTAAATATTTTGTTACCTGCATAACTAAGTATGTCTCAAGGAAATGCAAATGAAAAAACATATGCAAGAAAATAAGAAAACGCTCGATTTTTCAACTTTTTCAGTCATACGTTACCCAAGTTATCCGAGATTGTTAGTGTAGATAGATAGGTAGAACTTTTTATTTAAACACCCTAACCATATTTCCATGGTTTCCCCTCCTCTCCCCATTCACACTGGGTCTCAACCAGTTTTGTCCAAGATTATATATTAAACATTTAACATTGTGCATGCAGTGATAAATTAGACAAAATTAGACAAACTAGGCATGCAGGTACAAAGAAATATAAGACTTTTGTTCACAATTTTGTAAATTTCAACTCGATCTGTATTGTCTCCGGTCCAATTCTCCGATTCCTTGTATTTACGACATTGAACCCATTACGTAATTCTTTGCTTGCACATGACGTCACTACGTGTCATTAGGCGCCATCTTGGTTGATTTTAAAGGCAGTTTTGTCCAGCCGTTTGCATCGAAATAGTTGAGTTACTTTAATATTTTTGGTTTGTCTTGAAAACATCTTACTGTATTATGGATAGTATAGTTTACGATTTCTGGCACAATAATATGATAAAGAACGAAGAATATAGATTTTTAGTTGCCACGTACCAAGATGCCGACATGCCGTCGATTGCAAACGAGCAATTGATATGAAGCAAGAATTTCGTTTGGTCGGAAAAAGATTGGTGAAAAACTCATTCGCAGGCTAAAACCCATAGAGAGGCCAATCTCGTACCCAGGGCTAGTCGCGAATTGAAGGCGGCGACATAGCCCTGGTAAACGCTGGTCACGTGTCAGGCAAATACTCCAAGATTCTTGGAGTATTAGCCTGCGAGCGGGCTTTGTGGAAATAAAGACAGGGGGGCGACGAAAAGACGAAAAGTTCACGAATGGAACTTGAATTGCCGCGGATTATTTAAATTCTTTTATTTTTTGTTGTAATCTTTCTTCTTAACATGTTACGTTTATATATATTACGTCGAATGTACATCAATCTTCTTTTATATCGCATCATGTAAATCGCCGAGCGGGCGATGTTTCGAATTTCGAAGCAGTGAAAATGGAGCCAATCTCGTACATACTATTTGTGATGATTTCCATCAAGTATGAAAAGGTACAGTATATAGGAATTTGAAAATGTTTAGAAGTATTTCATTGTTACAAATTATTTAGCAGATTCCCATTATATATTTGTTACACTGTCTAGCTCTATGAAATATATATTTCGAAGGCTATTTACTGTAATATATTTTATACAGTATGTTAATATAGTTAGCTGAATTTTGAGAAACACGGCCAGACTATGGCCTATAATACTATACTTCGGACTCTCAGTAAAGTTCTACTCTCACATGATTATTATTTACAATATTGATTTATCGCTGTGAGAAACGTGTTTACACTTTAATACAGTATTATTAATTTAAACTACATTTTACAGCAGTATTGACTTCAAATACTTTGTATTTACATTTACAGTAATGACCTGAAATTATTTAAATGAGCCATTAAATACTGTAATAACAGAGTGGCCAGGTTGACTAAGCTAAAATCTGATGAACCTAACCTGCTAGGATATTTCAATAGTCAAACATCTGTTTCAGCACTCCAGCTGGTCAGGGATTTTTTAGGGAAAAGTTTTAGCACCCCATTGTAATTAAATTAAACCTGCCCCCGAATCTCAAAATTTCATTATTTTGTTCCCTTGCCCCTACAATCTATATTTATACCTTTTGTGCCCTTGAGATCTTTAAAAAAATTGCGTAACTCTGCAGTATGGCATGTAACCTTGTTGCCATATTTATTTTCTGACTTCAGGCTTCAATAAATTTCTACTCTAATACCTGACAGAGATGTGGGCCATATGTATGAACAATAAGAAATTATTTCTTCATCTATTATTTACCCCTTACCTTTTACCCAATTTTAAAACTAAATTTACTGAATGATTTTGAAGTTTTCTAGATTATTGAAAAGAACTTTATGGGTACAAGAAATGGGGCAAAAACAGTTGAATTAAGCAAGATGCAAGTAACAATGAACAAGACCGGGTCACTGGATGGTATTTCAGCACACTGGTGGACATGCAACCTAATACCTGCAACCTGTGTCACATATATATATAGTTTTACACTCTACTGGAAAAATAATGTCAAGGAACTTGTAGAGATTCAGAATGCACACTTCATGGTTTATTCAATCACCAGCATGCATGAATCATTTTATGTTATGAATATTTTTTTTAAATTATTCTCACTTTATAGATAAAATTATATCAATTTTTAATATCATAAATGAATATATAGTAGCTTTTGATTAAACAAGTTATAATAATATATCAGCAAATAATGACTGGTCTCTCTGAAATCCATATAGAAAGGTTCAAATTTGACTTCTACTACCACTACTTGATCTGGCAGTTGCATCCGATTGTTTGATTGGATAAATGAAATTTATCTGGTTAGTTAATGGTAGCAATAGCAGCAGTGGAAGTCAAATCTGATCTCTCTATTATTTTTGGAAGATTTGCTCTAGTCACGTCAATTCAGGGTTGCCCATGCAACTTGGTTAGAACAGCTAGCTCTTCAAGTTGGAGATCCAATTCTTAGGATTCTGCAAATTAATTCTAGAAAACTGGCTTTGGTTTGGGCTAAGCAAAAATCATCACACTGCTTATCATGCTGATTTGGTTGTTTAACAGTTAAAGTCCAGGCTGCATGTTTTTTTGTCCTGCATATGGCAGATGGGACAGTCTGGTTTTCAAGTCTTCATGTGGGGAATTAATATTAATCAGGACTGCCTTCTGAGTGAAGGTCTTGCCTGCTTTATGTGACAGCAGGCTCTATGCAAGATTCCAATTGCTACACAGCATGATCTCAGTGCTCTTCCTCTGAAACAATGCTTGGTTGCAATATCATCCAGCAAGTGCAAAAATGTACTACCACGGTCAAGGATCATTTGGCATGTTCATCGACTATGTTAACCCATTGAGTGGCGCCATGCACTGTCCCCTGACAAGTAAAATTGTCTGGTGTTAGACAGAGTAAGCTAACAAAGTAGGGCACATCTGGATGCATTGAACCCCAAAGAAAAAAAGATCGAAGTGCTGAACCCCCCCCCCCCAGAAATTAAGAAATTTTTGCCTTATCCCTCAGAAAAAGTGCAAAGATCAAAGGATGACAATGCACACAACCCCTCAGAAACGGATTTTTCAACCCCCTCAGAAATTCTAATCCATCGGGGGGGGGGGGGAAGGGTGTATATTAAATGGATGGCCCATTGCCACTTAAAGGGTTAAAAACGTAAATACCACAGCACAACACTTCTACATATACATATACAAGTAATACAACAGCAATCCTTTTATATATTTAATAGTCATATTTACATATTGGTGAAATATCAATGTCCATATATAGGGATGATCATTGTCCATGAACTTGTCCCTAGTTTGAAGCTAATGTATTCATATCTTTTGTATAAGTTGTCCCTCTACAAACCAACTCTTAGTTATTATACAAGAGTTGAATTTGCATTCATTTGCTTCGCAATTCGCAACAAACTGAACAAAGTACTATTCCATAAACCTGTGCAATGATCGAGCGTCTTTGGCGACATATCCGTGTCTTTTAAACGTCTCATACGAACAAATCTCACTGAGTTTTTTCTACAGAAAGTATTGATCCATTTGATCGATCGCCGTACTTTGAGAGAAGCTTCAAGTGCAAAATTCACTAGGAAGATTGAAGAATTTCGGAGATAAAAACTCTTTGTCTTCGAATTTCACCTATCCACCCCCCGGTTGAAAAAAGTTACAATTACGTAATGTTGGAGTCACGTGACCAGCGTTTACCAGGGCTATGTCGCTGCCTTCAATTCGCGACTAGCCCTGGGTACGAGGTTGTAGAAAGGCTGCCGAGGAGGCTAGTCAAAAGCAAGACCTTATAATTTAATAACGTTTCATATGAACCACGCGTGTGAGTCACGTGAAGTCTGTTTCGTTCAAAGGTCAAGTACAAGCGCAGATTTGGTCGGATTTATATTCTGACATTCTCAATATAAATTCGCTATTCGCTGGACTACACATTGGAATAATGAAAAGTTGTCGTATTCCCTATTGATGGTTGTCCAATACTGTCGAACGTATACGGATTGTAAAGATGGTAAAACATTGAACACAATCCGTACGGTTCGTACGAACTGTGAAATGGCTTTACGGACCGTACGAACCGTACGGTTCGTGAACATGATTTACGGATCGTGAACCTACTTTGAAGCTATTTCACAGTCCGTACGGATTTGTCGGGTCGTGAATCGTGTTACGAGCCGTACGAACGGTACGATCCGTCGAACTGTTGGTAGATCTGGGCAACAAGCATCTGCTATTGGAGACCACCTATTGCGTTTACGAGTTGATACGGATCGTGACTCGTGTTTACCGTCCGTACGAATTTGACGGATCGTGAAGCTGCTTCACGATCCGTATCATGTCGACAGTATTGGACATGTATGGATGTCCCTATTGTTCGAAAGATATTTCAACAAATATGTGAAAAAACCGAGATAAATTTGGATATTTTAAAGCATTTATTGGCAATTTTCTTCGGGTGTGTTAAATTTTGATGGAAGCAAAACAAGTCATTTGATAGCTTAATTCATGGGCATTCATAGGTAAATAATCGAAATAAAGAGGTAAACCGAATTCGAAATCAGAATATTTTTACATTTGAGGACAATGAATCTAAGGAAATCGAAAAGTCCTGCCAAATCATAATCCTAGCAAAAGTCTAACTCCCAACTACACAGTGTATAAAGCAAAAACTGCACAGTTCAAAAATGTTTGCCTGACTGCAAGTGCAAGTTTCACAAAACTTGTGAAAATGTTTTGTTTTTTTTGTTGTTTTTTTTGTTCTTTATTCGCCCAAATTACATTAATATATATACAAATAAATCGTAAAATAGAAACTATTTACATAGGGCTAGGAACCTTCTAGAAACCATAAGGCTTTTATTTAAGATCCCTAGTTACATCTTTAGATTAGATTAAAATATAGTTACCTTTTAATAATAAAGGATATATATATATATATATATATATATATATATATATATATATATATATATATATATATATATATATATATATATATATGAAACGAGGAAACTGTTAGATAAAATAAACTATATTACAACAATTTTAGTTTTAATTTTACTTTTAGTGGAGAATTCTATTATTATTTTTATCAGGATGAAGAAAATATTTTTTGATTGTCGATTTGAATATTGGAAAAGATCTAATTTCTTTATATTGCGAAGGAAGATTATTCCACACATCGATTCCTTTATTAGCAAGTGTGTGTTTTTCATAATTTGTTCTATTACATATTACATTTTTTGTGTAGCAATGATGCGTTTCTTGTGTTATAATTATGGATATCTTTGTTACTCAAAAAATAATTAATAAAAATCTCGGGAAGATTTTGCAAATGAAAATATCGGAACATAAACAAACTTGTCAAATATTCATTTAATTTGTACAAGTTTAGTATTTTCAAATCATTAAAAATTGGTTCAGTGTGGTCAAAACACGATTTGAATGTCATTAATCGGATTATCTTCTTTTGGATATTCACTAGTTTTTGAATGTGAGATTTATAGGCATTTCCCCAAATTAAATTACCGTAAGTGAGATATGGATAGATTAATGCATAATAGATCAGCTTTAAGGAAGTTAGGTTTGTAAAGGGTAGAATCCTGGAAATAATAGCTGCACATTTGATAATTTACTTTGCAATCTGATCTGTGTGATCGCGCCATGTTAAAAACTCATCAATAACAATTCCTAGAAATGTGATTTTTTCCACTCGTTTTTTACTTTCATTGTTTATTGAAATTTTTAGTTCATGTTTAGATTTTTTATTTCTTGATCTATAAAAAGAATGAGCTTGGTCTTTGCAGTATTTAAAGATAATCTGTTAACATTCAACCAAGTTGCGATTTTATTCATTTCCATTTGAAGAATTTCATTTAACTTTTCGAGACAACAATCACTATACAGTATATTTGTGTCATCGGCAAATAATATAATTGAAACCAATTCACTGCAATATTGAATATCGTTTATATATAAAAGAAACAACAAGGGGCCTAATACTGATCCCTGTAGGACACCGGTTGTTATAGTCATTTCTTCTGATTTTACTCCGTTATATTTTACTAACTGTTTTCTATTAGATAGGTAATTTTCGAACCATTTCTTGGCTACTCCTCGTACTCCGTAATGATGCAATTTTCTTATCAGAATCTTGTGATTAATTGTGTCAAATGCTTTTGACAAATAAAGAAAAATGCCAACAGAAAATTTCCCTTGATCAATCGCTTTAGTAATTTTATCAACAAAGTCAATTATAGCATGCTCAGTTGATCTGTTCTGTCTAAAGCCATACTGATGCTTTGATAATATCTTGTTCTTATCAATAAATGCTATTAGTCTTTTGACCATGAGTTTTTCTAATAATTTAGAAAAACAAGTTAAAACTGATATTGGTCGATAATTTTCAAACCTATTTTTTTCGTTTCCTTTAAAAATTGGTGTAATCAATGCGATTTTTAAAATGTCTGGCATAATTCCAGACGAGAATGATAAGTTCAAAATATGTGTTAAAGGCTTAGAAAGTGCTTTGGCAGTTATTTTTATAATTTTAGCATTAATGCCATCACATCCAGAACTTTTGTTCGACTTAGTATTTTCAAATTCAATTTCAAGTTCATTTTCTGTGATAGCATTAAGGAAAAAACTAGACTGATAACTGCCTTTTAGATATTTCTCAAAATTATCATTATCATTGCATTTTACTTTTTTGGCCAAGTTAGGACCGATGTTAGTGAAGTAGTCGTTGAATTTGTTCGCCATTTCGTCCGGTTCTATTATAGTATTTGATGAATTGCTTTCCAAAAAAGTTTTTGATAGGGTTAGTATTTTTGGTTGATTTATTGAGTAGTTCATTCAATGTTTTCCACATCATTTTTGGACTTTGCTTGTGCTTGATTAACTGCTCCTGATAATAGGTCTTCTTTGATAATTTTATAATGTGATTAAGTTTATTTTTATATTTTATATATTTTTGTCTGTTCCTATTATCTGGGTTGTTGAGGAAAGATTTATATAGCTTATTTTTATTTCTAACAAATTTTAATATACACCTAGTCATCCAGGGGCTTTTATTTTTATCTATTCTTGTTTTATGTTGTTTTCTTTTAATTGGAAACTTTGCATCGTATATATCCATAAACAATTTCATAAACTCAGTAAATGCCTTTTCAGGGTCATTTGTTTCATTTAATACTTCCTCCCAGGAAATATTTTTAATTGCGTCTTTAAACGCTTCTATGTTCTATTCACTGTATAGTCGTTGGTAGGTTACTGTAACTTCATTTGACTTTCTGCTTTTACCAAATATATTTGTGTTAAACATATGAACAATAGGTAGATGGTCTGAAATATCACTGAAAACAATACCATTTACACTATCAATTAAGTTTTTCCAAATTATTTGTGAAAATATTATCAATTAGTGTTTCACTGTGACTAGTAATTCGTGTTGCTTTAGTAAATAATGGGAAAAATGACGATGTGAATAGTTGCTCAATAAACTGGCTCGCAAAATCACAAGACTCTGATTTGAAAAGATCAACGTTAAAATCGCCCATTAAATAACACAGTTTATTTTCTTTGTCAATCTTTTCTAAGATTGTATTCATAGTGCTTTCAAATGTGGCAAAATTTCTATTTGGCGGTCTATAAATGACCCCAATAATAAGATTTTTACCATTATTATTTACTATTTCAATAAATTTGGTTTCAATTATATCTTCTATATTTTTGGTTAAATCATTCGAGTTTTATACTCCAATTGTTTTGAGACATAAAGACCTTAGTGAAAAATAAAAAGCTTGTTTTGAAATATGACTCCTTAGGCTTAGGTTGAACCAATATAGAGTTGGCCATCTATGATCAGTTTGTCCCGAACCAGCTTCATTTTTTTTTTCTCCGCTCTTGCTTGCTTGAATATCGGATATAGTTTCTTGCGAATTTTAACAATTTCTTCAGGAAACTGCTCGCTAATCGCTATATCTGTTCCTTTTAATTTTCTTGCATTCCGGAGAATCGCTTCCTTGTCTGGGTAATAATTGAATTTCACTACAATGGCTCTTGGTTTACTTCCCCCTCGGTTTGCCCATTCTATGCGCTCGGTCGATTTTAATAGTTGATTTCGAGTTTTCTATCCCCAACTTTTCCTCCAATAGCTTATGAATTACGTCTTTCGTATTTTCCTCCGCCGATTCTCTAACATTATAAAACAGGAGATTATCGCGCATCGATCTTGCTTGAAGATCAATGACGCGATTGTCCAATAGCGCGTTGCTTTCTTCGAGTGTTTGTAGTCTCCTCTTTACTTCGAGATCTTCTTTTTTTCTTTCTTCGTTTTCCTTTTTAAGGTCCGCAACTTCTGCGTGTACAAACTCCATCGATGCTTTCATATCTTTCATCTCCTGCTTGACAGACTTTGTTCGGTCGTCAATTATATCAAGCTTCATAACTATTTGTTGTAAAATGCTATGTATTTCCCCATTTGTTGGATCTTTCTCTTCGCGACATTTGTCCTCCGTATCGTTACGTTTAGAAATTTTCGGTTTGATAGGCTTGCTGGGGGTGCTTATAGACGAATTATTTGAGATTTGCGCACTGCGCTTGAGAGCTTGCTTATTAGCCGCCATATTGAATTTTCCCATATTGAATTTTATGCAATTTATTCCCTTTATTCCCTGCTACCAAAGTAAGCTGTTCAACAAATCTATGTGGGTACATTTGAGAATGGAAATATTAAATAAATGCATGATATATATTAAAAATCACCATCAAATTTAAAATCACCCGGCTTCAAATGTTATGCATTCCTACCTCGGTAACAGTGGATGTAAAGTCATCTACAAACGTCCAAGCTTCTCTCGGCATTTTACATCTTGCTTTGTAATCATCACTGGTTAATGTTATTGGTTTGTTAAATCTACATACGGTATTATTCATATATCCATCAACGCATTTCCAGTCTGGTTCTGCTGCAATAAACGTCACTATCATAGTAGGAAACGCAGCAAGGGATATTAATGTATATCCAAAAATGGTTAAAATGTACCACTGATATTGTCGAAATTCACCAATCTTTATAAAAACGTCATCAATCGTATAACCCATTGTGCATTCCAGCCTATAAAATTAGTTATCTGAAAATTAGAAAAAATTCTCAGTAAGCTGCTTTACAGTCACGCGAAAAACACACTTTTCAGCCGGAAGGAAATTAAAGAGTGCAGACTGAATTAATTAAAACCAATCTGAGAACAATTTTTCGTCAGGAGGGGCCAGCAAAAACCCAGGTGGGGCCAACAAATTTTTCGCACCACAACATTTTAAATCCCCACCTCTTCCCCCCGTCGACAACTTTTTGGGTAAAAAATTTTTCCGGACAATAATATAATATAATAATAATATAATATAATATTTTTCTCTTCAATACAATTGCTTTCCGATGCTTCACCACGAAGATTCCGACAAAATTGAGCCCGCATTAAAAATTCACTGGTAAAAAACCCAGATTGGTTTAAACTTCATCTAACCCTCATTTAATACATATTGAAATAATTAGGGTTAGAAAAGGTGTGTGTTTCAAGCTGTGTGCCACAAATAAGCGAACAAAATTTTAGGTTGAACACCGATGCGCAGCAAAGCATATATTCTACAGAATTGTTGCATTATTGACAGCATGAAGCTATATAATCGAGGATTCCCTTTTTTATACAATAGATTTTATCAGAGGGGGCCCAAAATTTTGCCAGGGGGCCCCCCGGCCTCAGCCCTGGCTACGCCTCTGAGAACAAAGCGTATATGCATCAATTGCGTGCGTATGACAATGACGTGTTTTCCTAAACAGGGTCATGAAACTTCGTCTATACAGGATTTTCCTGGTTTGGTGGTTTGGATGAAGCAAAAATCCACACTAGTCACTATATACGGAAAAACAGAAGGTCAAAGGTAATCTTGGGGTGATCCTGAAGGACTCTTGGATGAAACAGAACTATTGTGGCAAAAGCATTTGATGCTTACGTTCAGTTTACTATGGAGATTGCAGAATATAGTCTACATTTCCTAGATCTTTTAATCACCATAAGGGATAATGAGTTAGAAAGTACTGTTTATAATAAACGCACGGATGCCCATTTATACCCTCAACGCAAAGTCGTCGCATCCCAGAGCTCAAATACTTGGGATTGCTAGGGGAGTTGCCTTGAGACTGCGTACGGGATATGTTCTTTGGATACTTAGCTTATATGTCAAAGAAATAGTTGTTTTTAAAAAGAAGTACATTTTAAAATGAAGTACAGTTTGTGGATCGCGGTTTTTTTGCGGGTCGCAGGTTATTTTTACAAGTCCGGCGGGCAGTGAATTGTAAGCAATCTGGAACGATAATGCCAGTGATAAAGTTCTATGATTGGTTGTGAAGCCAAATTTAAAGACTAGGGACGCAGAGTTTCGAGGAGCGGGAAATTCAGTCAAAAGTTTGTTTTTGAGCGAAAATTAGCAAGAAAGTACTTTTTATCAAAGGGCTTCAATTTTAAAGATTGAAACCTGGTTTCCTGGATTTATAACACAAGTTTGAACGTACCGGAAAAACGTCGCACTTTGACCGGCCGAAAAAAATAACTTTAAAACTGCTCTACGTTCTTGGAAACATGTTTTGTACTAAATGTTTTTAGCTTTTTTCCTTGTTGAAATGCAGCTATTCAATGCTCAAAAACAGATGTCTTTTCGGCGACTTATTTTGGATGTCTCATGTACATGGCGGCCATTATGTGTGGCTTCAAAGATGGCGGCCAAGTTATCGTTTCATGCAGTTCCCTTAGAGTTCACTGGTCGCGGGTTATTAACGCAGGTCACAGTTTCTTGGCGGGTATTTTGTCGGGGCTCTTTTCCCTGCGGTGTAAATTCCATGTCAGCGTTCTTGGGGGATTTTTGCCCGAAACATCGGCTGTTCTCTTCAAAATAATGCCGCACTAGACTTTATTTTTAGTAGTAATTATACAGTAGCTATTCGAAGCCGATTTTGACTTGAAAATCTTTTTAATATTTTAATATTTTAATTGTTTTTTAAAAAAACTCTGTTGATAACTCTTAATTCGTGTTTGCATTGCTTGTTCCCAGCTTGTTGCTACCATGAGTTTGTTCAACTTAGCATGCATGCAGACTTGTTTGAAAAACTTGTTATCGTCCTGCAAATTCAACAACTTGTTAACAAGTTGTAAATGACAACCATGTAGCAACTTGAAATAATATTAATAACGACATTGTTAAACTTGTTGACACTCTCCTCCGCAGAGGCTTTGTACTGTTTGTAGTTGGAACTTGGAATTTGTAGTTTCAAAAAACTTCGGATTAATAGTGTCAAATAAAGATTATATTAGGGTTAGATTAAGATTATGGTGAGGGGTTAAGGCTCAACACGTGTCGCAAATTTATTGTATTGATATGTTCGGACGTGTGTAACAATTTACTCATATAGTAAATTAAAAGGTGGAGCTCATGCTGGTTAGGGCTGAACATGTGTCGCGAATTTATTGTTTTGATAGTTTCGGACGTGTATAACAATTTACTCATAATACTAGTAAATTCAAAGGACGAGCTCATGCTGATATTTTGGTATTGCCGAATCGTAATAATAGTACTTTTTATACAAACAGAGTTTTTTTAATATTTTGTTACTTTCAAGTCAAAATTGGATTCGGAAAAGGAACTGTGTATTATTTTGAAGAGAATAACCAATGTTTCATGCACTGACAAATCCCCTCCCCCCCTTTCCCCCGAAAAGAACGCTGACATGGAAATTAGACCGTGGAGGAAACACCCGCGAAACGAAAAAATAAAATAATGTATTGTCCAGTGAGTGGTAATACGTGGATAGCCGACTGGCAATTAGTTAAAGTATACAACTGATCTTTGAATTGTTAATTTATTTAAATTATCACCTACACGGCAATTACTGATTGGAAAAGTAGGAATTGTTGGGGGTTAGGAAAATCACTGTATTTGAAATGAATAAAATCCTATAAATGATGACGTCAGTTCTGTTATCGAAATATTATAATTATAAAAAAGAAACAAAATTTAATGTAAGTTGGTATATTATATGGGCGAATTAAATTAAAAAAATGTATGACTAATTAACGGAACTGCCGACCACAGAACTGTGGAATCTGCAGAACTTCTAGTAATAAACCGATCACTGAACTGTGACGCCGCTAACGAATCGCTTTAATTTACTGATTAGGAATTGTAAGCATTCAGGTAAAATAAACTATAGCATGTTAGCAATTGTAAAAATATATAGCAATGGTTTGATTCACACAGTGTCGCACTATATTTATTAAATTAAACATTTGAAAATGTTTTTGAGTTGTTATTGCTGTAACTGTACGGCACGTACAGTGCACGCGACAAAACATGCCAAAACGAACGAACGGGAAGATCTAGAATACATACCAAAAATACAAATGATTCTGTTTTGACAGGGAAATGAATGTAGTAAATTTGAAAACCATGCTAGTCTTTTCACGCATGTGAAGAGTACGGTCAATCTGTCTACATGAAGCTGTACTCTGGAAAACAGCATTAAAACTTTCTATTAACTGTATTTATTCTAATTATTCAGGTGAAACTTCGTACTAAAACGGCATGCTCGCTCCCTGAACTGATCTCACGAGAGAATCGCGAGGCATAAACACGCGTCTGGTCACTCCGATGGTCAGATTTGGCTTCAAGAAAAAGATATTCAATTTACTGGTTTTCACCCCAAGAGCATGCTCAACAGAATTTATACGCAAAATCGGCAGAGCCCTATTTCCACTTCTCCTCTTCCACATACTAGAACGTGCATTTATGCACAGGCAATGAATAAATTATAATTCATCAAGTGGGCCTTAACAGCATGATTACTGCATGCATGACTTCAAAACTGGCACTTAAACACTGTGATGCTAATTCTAACATAGCACTGTGATGCTAATTCTATAAAAACAAAAAAGACAAACAACCATACATGCAGCCGCATCATCCATTCTCTTCAGAGTAGACATTAAGGCTAGCCTTATGCCCTTATTTGACAAGCTGTTTAGAAAAAAATATTAACTATAAGGCACTTTTTATCTCGCCCATATTAATTAATCAGTTATTATTTAATTAACTTGCCTTATACCAAACGTATAAGCCTGGTTTCCATATGGTCGTAACGGTAGTAAAGATTGAGTCACGATCTTCCTCATCAACCGAAATACAACATTTTAGAACTGAAAGTTCCAGGAGTGATTATAACTTGAAAACACTTATGATTTATATGTGGTTTACAGGCTGCCTCGTCCCCAGGCGCTAATAATAAAATTTCATGCGAGTCACTATATGAAGGTTTACATGAGGTAGTGCATCACATTATAGGCGCGCAAAGGGGAGTGGGATATTAGCGTTCTGGTTAGCGCCTGGCCGATCTTGTATAATAGCTGTCGAACATACAAGTAAACAACAGATCTAAATATAAATCCTTAAAGCTATCCTTACCCGAATTATTCCAAATATTGTCGATCTTTTGCACCGATCGTGAAAATCAAACATACTGCATGTAAATAAGCTCATAACTGCGATCCTGAGCCGAATCTTGCAAATGCAATACAAAAGAAAGTTTCATCACTCCCTTGTTCAAAAAACTTCTTGTAGTTGTATATTTTTAAAATAAGTTGCTCATTGTGATAAAAATGCACTGTCATTTTTCCATACCTTGTAAATTTATTGTATAAACCAGCTTCTATAGCCTCATTGAACTCTTCAAGTGTTGACATCTTGGAATCATTTAAAGCGTTAAATGATATCAAATATCATCTGACTGTAATCACATGTTTAATTGAACAATTTGAAATGTTGTTTCCTCGAAAAAAATGGCGAAAAAAGCCCCAAACTGTCGAAAAAAACACGATTTGCAAGAAACAGACGAATTTTGCAAGAAACGGCACAAGATCTCCCAGGCGCTCCTCAATTTTCGATACCTCAAGCCCATAAAGCCGGTTGTCCACTTTGCCCGTATCGTAGCGAAACGTACTGGTGAGCATGCGCAGATTGAAAAGAGGTTTATAAATCCACGTACTTCCGGGTGTATTCGCGTATCAAAATAAAAAGTTCGTCGCAAGTCAACTTTTTGGCGTACTACGGAAGTACTAATTAACCAACCAACATTCACGATATTTTGAAATTTAGAAACTTTTTGATACGTTTCGGTACGGTACGCTTGAAGTGGAAAACCGGCTTAACTCCCTGCGCTTGTTCGTCGCGATGCACTACTTCATGTAAACCTTTCATATAGTGACGCGCATGAAATTTTTTTATTAGCGCCTGCGGACGAGACAGGTTTACAGGTGTAAACTATTACAAACTGGCCGTTAAGAAAGATCATGACTCTTTTTATGAACATTACGACCATAGGAAAGCCAGGCTATACCAAACTCCACACTATTTCGAACCTTATGGACTGAATTCGTTTTTATTAGGAAAGATAATTATGCACGTACTGTACAATATTTGATTCTGAAGCGTAAACAATGACTTAAAACAGAATATAATAGAGAATGCACTTCAGTTTACAGTCGATTTCACGAAACTTTGACCACAAATGTTCTTCGTTGCGAAGTTCGCAAGTTCATATTGGAATTCATGCACAAGCCAAATTGTAAGCAAAGTCCCTGATTGGTCCTTGAAGTAAAAGAAGCCATGCAATCAGATGCGTATAGTTTACAAACTGGTTTGTGAATCTCATTATGAACTTTTGAACTTCGTAACGAACTTCGCAACGAAGTTCAGAACATTTGTGGTCAAAGTTTTGTGAACTGCATGAAGTCGACTGTAAGCTGATACCTACTAAGCACAATTGTTAAATAGACTGTATTTAATTGAAAAAATGTGAACGTTGTTGTTGTGAATTTTCTTATGAAAAATAATAAATCGTTAGTCATGCGTACAATAGACTTGCTGTTGTTTTTACACCAGTTGTCTTTTTAACTTAATTTATATAATTGGAAATGACAGAGGAAATAATACAGGACAAATATTGTATGCGGTTAAGCTATTTAATGTCCCGTGGGCATTTCTACTAATAGTTGTTCGTTAGCATATTTATTATCCTTATGCTAAAGTCAGTCTAATTCATACTATAAAAGTCGTATCAATGATTCAATGGGTCATTATAAATAAGCCACCAACACGTTAATTTAACTTTATATTATTTCCTTATTTGACGCTGATCGGGCTACTTGTTCCGAGTCTGCCTTTGAAATTTTTTAAAAAAGTTTGAGCGAAGTTAACCGTTTAATTAAAGCGTGCATGCATGATGCATTACTGTATATTCAATAGAGTCAAAACAAGACCCCTCAAAACGACACCTAATGTGCTGTTCTTCGACTCTCTTGGGGACTTTTGACCCGCCTTAAAGTTCCTCCTACTTGCATTTTTGCGTACTCTTTATACTGTATATAATCCCGAATAAAAGCTCTTCAAAACTCGATCCAATTAAATATACTCGAAACCCGTTAAATGTCAAACCTTTTTTCCCTTTGCTGTTTGAAACAGCGGGGCTCTGCATATATATAGCTACATAACTTCATATCCAACAGATTTACTTTCATAATATCTACATTATTTTAATACACAAATATATTTAATATGCTCATTACGTCTTCAAACAAATCATGCAACCATAGTATGTCAAGTGCAGTAGCTTTAAACCTGATAAAACACTCCTAATTAGTATTCTTTATATAAAAAATAGTAATAAGGCAGTATCTATTGTGCTTGTGTCCTCATTAGTATTCTTTATATAAAGAATACTATTAGGGCAGTATATCTATTGAATTTGTAGTCGTGTTTGAAGCCGTTTAATAAACTCGCCGGTTGTGTTTTATATTAGGTCTAAAGCCACTTGCGCTGCGCGCTCGTGGCTTTAAACCTAATTAAAACACTCCTGCTCATTTATTAAATAGTACTTAATTTATGATTGAGTCGGTTTTCAGTTTGATGTACCGAGGTGATTATTTTTAATAATCACCTTGAATATTAATTAGCCGTAAAAAGATGAAAGAAAACTCAGAAAATCGTCGTTCAAAGCAGGCGAAACTGATAAAATTTTGTAGGAAAACCTCCTCAATCATGAATTAAATATGACAAAACCGAGAAAGAGCCTTATGTCATATACAGTATATAATGCCCTCGGACGCTCAGGTCGTTATTATCTGACATAAATTCTTCCTTCTAGCTGTTTATCATATACATATATCTTAAAGATAGGGGCCATATACAGTACATGGTCTAGCTTGCCTAAAAGTTGCTACTACAGCTTGTTGCATCCAGGTGCAGATTACTTATCGGATAAAACAGACTGCAGTGGCAACTTAATTATATGTAACCGAAACTACTATTAGTTGCAATATATTTACGATATCGAGTGCTCTATAGCAGTTATGAACGCACAAAATATCATTATCATGTAATATGGTAGTGTATGTTTATTCTCAATCAATCATGACTTGAGTCGTATGGAGTTGTAGCTAGAGAAAAAGTCACAGTAGTGTTACCGAAATACTTCATATATCTTACCTTATCAGAGCAGCTTTACCAATGCTTGGCTTCTGTTGGAAAATACGATAAATGCACTACATTCCTTAGCTATACATGAACGCATTTTAGGAATTTAAATTATATACATAAGTGATGAACAATCACATCATAATTGTTTAACTCTTTGTGTTATTTATACTGTAGAATGCTGGCGCTTTCAATCTGAATAAAATTAACATGTTTTTATATTATCAATAAAAACTCATTCAGATAAATGATCGTTAAGAAAGCTTGTTGTGTATCATCAAACGTACACAGCTTGAAGAGATCAAAACAGAGCCTTTCTATTGAGTAGAGTTCCACATTTAGTACTGAACCAATTAGCTGACTAAAATGCATACGTTGTACACAAGACGTAAAAACTCTGGTTTACCGGTTGTAAACAGACCGAAGTTGACGTCTAAATTTCCCGAGCTCGATAATTTATTTATTTCTTTTCTTAAATGTTTACTACTACTTTCATTGCAATACTAGTCGTCGTCGCCATGTTGCCTTCCTATAGATCTAATTAATTTTGGCCTGTGTTAGGGCGCAATTCCAGTCATCGCACGAAGCGCCTCGCAGCTCGCTGCGAGTGCATGCATGAACACTTTCAATCCAATCACAAAGCTTAAGAGTTCATTTTAATGTAATTAGATGCAAGCACTCGCAGCGAGCTGCGAGGAGCTTCGTGCGAGGACTGCCAATTGCGCTTAACTAATGGTCTAAGAGAAGGGCATCTTCCGCTTCAGTGACTATACCACGGTATTTTCCAGGTAATTACCAAATTTCGATTTCCCTTCAGAAGATACTTCGAGCTGCTGAAGCTTTATTCTTAAGCGGTATTCTAGTTACGTACATTTGCAATTGCACTTTAAGTTTATCAACTGAGTTTGGGGGGAAGATTCCCTTGGCTGTTGTTGCAAATGAGCGCATGATTGCATATTTGCTATACAGGGTGCATAAAAAAAAAACTGAACAGATTTAAAATTGCTTTCAATTTCGCAAAACAACTATTTTTATCCGGTTTTTTATATATATAGCCTCTTTGGGTACTTATAATGTAGAATAATGAGAAAAATTTCTCGAACTCAAATTTTGTGAACCAGGGGGGTGTGTCTTTTCCAACAAACTAAAAATGGCTCGCGCACAAAATTTAAAAGCTGCAATCATATTTTGAGTTAACAGATGGAAAATTTGTCGGAATATTAATTACTGTACAAAATTTCAGACAATTTGGTTTAGTTTAAGCCCCTTAACTATTCACACAAAGTTACAATTTTCGGAAAAATCAGCTATTTGCATGCTTATATGTCAGTAATATGCAAATTAGGTAAAGGCATAATTCTAATC